CTGTCCAATATATTAGCAAATAATGCCAAGGGTGCTTATAACGTCGAATACGGTATAAGCAAATATCGCTGTATGCACTTATTAGAGCGGGGCGCTTATTACGTTGAATACGGAAATCATGTAAGCGCAATGTTAACGAAAATGAAGTTTTGTAAGAATGTGACCTAATCTAACAAGGAGCTGAATGTGGATAATAATGGGCCACTTAGTTGTTAAGAAGTAAAGTTTTAAAATTCCTATAAAGATGAGGTGAAGAAGTTCTATAGGCTGTTATCATTTTGGATGTAATTCAATTGGATGTTGTGCATCATATAAGAATCTGAACTATGCAGGTATTCCGAGCATGAGTGTTGCTTTAAGGTCATGATGAACCAGCCACTTGTGTATGGGCTTGTATGCAGTTCATGGCTGTGTTGACTTAATATTTATTGAGAACCAGTTTTAAAAGTATTTGCAACGACCCGGACTAATCTATACCCATCCCACCTCCCACTCACAACCCACACAATATCCACACATAAATACGTATATAAAAACACCTTGTATTGCACTATGAAGTCAGTAACATTTAAATAAGATAAAAATACACATACACTGCAGGGTTAGAAACTAACAGTTTTCATCCACTAGTCCTTATAATGATAACATATAGCAAAACCCTTAAAAAGGACAAATTTCTACTAGTCCTAAGATACCTTTACCATTGGGCACTTTGGCAAGGACTATAGGACTAGTGCCAATTTCTAACGCTGCACTGCCCTGAATGATAAAGTCTAATGGTAGTTTTAAATAGTTGTTGTGAGATATGTAGATAATAAAGGGTTGGTTTGACATTTCAATGTCATTTAACAACAAATATTTGATTTAAGAGGCATGTTCATCAAACGCACATCTCACAGTTTGACATTAATGTAGATAAATAATGACACATATGTCTACTGTAATGAAAGAGAATTCAATGATGTATTGGTAATATTAAATTAAGTATTTGCGGAAAGGTAGCCCAAATCTGTTACCTTGATGACATTACGATTTCTCCATTGATGTACTTGAGACGATGCTGGAAGTCTGTGTTTAATGTCATGGAACTGATGTTATGTAAATTGGAATTCGTCATGTTCACAGTGAAGTATGTCATGTACACAGTGAAGTACGTCATGTACACAGTGAAGTATGTCATGTACACAGTGAAGTACGTCATGTACACAGTGAAGTATGTCATGTACAGAGAAATGTATGTCATGTACACAGTGAAGTACGTCATGTACACAGTGAAGTACGTCATGTACACAGTGAAGTACGTCATGTACACAGTGAAGTATGTCATGTACACAGTGAAGTACGTCATGTACACAGTGAAGTACGTCATGTACACAGTGAAGTATGTCATGTACACAGTGAAGTATGTCATGTACACAGTGAAGTATGTCGTGTACACAGTGAAGTATGTCATGTACAGAGAAATGTATGTCATGTACACAGTGAAGTATGTCGTGTACACAGTGAAGTATGTCGTGTACACAGTGAAGTATGTCATGTACAGAGAAATGTATGTCATGTACACAGTGAAGTATGTCATGTACACAGTGAAGTATGTCGTGTACACAGTGAAGTATGTCATGTACAGAGAAATGTATGTCATGTAGATATACATACATACATACATACATACATACATACATACATACATACACATACATACATACATACATACATACATACATACATACATACATACATACACACCAATTAGGACAGCCAAAATCTAGGTCACATGTGGCACTTGTGAGAACCCACTGACAGGGTAGACCAAGTGCCCCTCGTGACACATCTTGACCAATATGTAGATTTGATTTAGAGATACAGAAGTATCAGCCTTGCAATATGACTGAATCGGGAAGTGACATATTGTTATCTGAACATCGTGTAGAATTTGGTGGTGTATAAACCAGATATTGTTTGAGATATGCTGATAGTCAAAAGTTACGCAACATGCTAGTGTTATTACTTGACATATAACCCAGGAAACTTTGAGTGTTACGGTGAAAATTTAAAGGTACAATTGTGTTACCGTATTCGACGTAATAAGCGCCCAGGCCGCTCTCAAAATTAGAAATAGGGGGCTTAGAATATCATTTTGGTGAAAAAAACAGAGTTGAAAGAAAAATTTCATGGTTTATGCTGACAGCCTGAAATGTTTATGTACGACAAATATATTTCTCCAGAATGTAATTGCCCATAATTAAGTGTGCATATAACACACGAGTGAGTATTATAAGCTAATAAATAAGTCTTGTGTACATTGATCAAACGATATGCCAATTGGGATTGTTTACTGGCCAATATATTAGCAAAAATTGCCGTTGGCGCTTATTAGAGCGGAGCACTTATTACGTCGAATACGGTAAATGGCAATTGAAAAATAAACATTCTGAAAAAGCAGGAAAGCCCTTTGTGATTCTGTAGCATAATAGGTCTACAGTATCCCATGTTGATCAGCAGCATCCATTAATGAGGATTGTGTGGTTACAATGGTGTACCCAAAAACATGGTTTGGTGCTCGCAATATCAACCATTGGTATAACGGGTCCAGGCTTTATCTGGCTGATTGTATGTCGTTCTGAATAGCATAGATTGCACCTCGCAATATCTGGTTTATCTCATCCAGGTTATCAAACTTAAGTTTTTAGAACATCTGACATGGGCATCAAACCCCCTTTTCTCACTTACAGACTTAATATATGGAATTATAACAACATATACTGCTCTAAAGAAGTTAAGGAACACCTGAGTTTTTCATATTATATGGTTTATCTGTCATAGCATATGAAAGAATGAAAAATTCAGGTGTTACCAACTGATCACTATAGTTATATGAAAGAATCAGGTGTTATTAACTGATCAACTATTGTTATATGAAAGAATCAGGTCTTATTAACTGATCAACTATAGTTATATGAAAGAATCAGGTGTTATTAACTGATCAACTATAGTTATATGAAAAATCAGGTGTTCTTTAACTTTATTTTAGTAGTGTATTACACGACAGATTAACTATACAGTAAACTATGTTTATAACGAACACGCTTATAACGAACTGACCGATATAACAAACTTTTAGTTCCGGACATTTGCTGTTTTATGCTTATAACGAACTACGGCTACTCCAAACTAAAATAAGTGGTCCCTTTGAGTTTGTTATAACTGTAGTTTACTGTAGTTATGTGAAAGAATCGTGTGTTCTTTAACTTTATTTTGGTAGTATATTACGCGACAGATTCCTTGGATCCAGCGATGCATGATGTGCACAGCCCTGTCATGCCTCCCATACAACCAGGAGAAGTAGGATGGTGATAGATGGGTCTGATTATGCAAGGACAATTAGGTGATGTGACTATTACACTGACTGACACACACACCAGGGCACCTGTCACGTCAATGTCATATGTTCATCTGCAGCTAGGATGGATCTAGGTCATTGACTGCTGTCATGCTGACACTGCCTGATGGCCGACATGTAGCCGACATTGATCACACAAAAATGTTTGTTTCCTCATTGTGACATTGAGTTGTACTTTCGAACAATATGTAATTTTGTAATTAACCAAGTTGTCCAACTCCCCATTGTTAGGTTTGGTACCTTCCAATCTGTTGACTGACATTGGGAGAGTACCTGGGTTTGCTACCAGGAATACAGCCCTTCTGACAATCTGGGTAATGCAGAAGGCTGCAGTGTTTGGAAGTCTTCACATTCTCCGAAAAGTTCTGGGTGGGTTTGACTAGGCAGCGCTTCCTGGGGGAAGTCCCATTCTCTGTCTGGGCTGCGTGTAGAGGGGGCAAGGACCCTGGGCTGATGATGAGCCTAACCAGCCTGATTGTGCCAGGATCACCCAAACCCTCTTTGCTGCATTTATTATTTTAATCTGTACATAATAATAATAAAAAAGGGATATTTGTAATATGCTACAGTCCATCCGTTGAAGTATGCTCACAACGCTAACGCCATTATTGCTGCAGTCAATGGGTCAGATTTACTTACTCAGCTTCCGATATAAATTAAAAATATTTGTTGACGAATGTCAAAGACAGTATATTGACTGTTATTGCTGGGAGAAAGTTACACTCACACTTACTATCAGGTAATACTATCCAGTGTTCAAACTAAGGGGGAGCAGGGGAGCCTAGTGGTTAAAGTGTTTGCTCATCATGCCAAAGGCCAGGGTTCATTTCCACACTAAAATGAAGGGCTTGGGTGTGAAATGTCTCGGTGTTTGAAGTTTGCTATATGTATTTGAATTAAGAGTTTGATGGTTTAATGGGGCATGTCGACTTTCCAGCGTAATTTTGTAAACTCATAAACTCATCAATGATTCACTATGCACTGTATAGTGTAAGAGCTCCAACAACGGAGATGAGAAAACTTGCGCTGAGCGAAACATATAGTTAGTGTATGCTGTATTGGGTTGAGTGAACTTGGCACTATGCAAGTGTACATTCATCATCAAGGCAATGTTTGTGTCTGCAGCCAAAGTAGCAGGAATATCTCTCATTGGCATGACTTCCCTTTTCTAAGTCTGGTTATGTTTATGAAAGTAGTTTGTATTTGAAAGTTTAATTTTAATTACAAGCTTAAAAATGCCATGGGGAGTTTAATGGATGAACATTTTTACTGCATGCTTCATGAACACAAAGAAGCTCATGTTTTATTTCACGAGTACCACGGTTAAGGCCGTTTGTTTTTCAAAGGAAATTGTTCACGGCAGAAGCCAAAATGCACTTTCAAAGTCAACTCATTTGCTGATCCCATCTGTGCCCCAGCTTTTGTGTCCATATACATTGAGTTAACGTCCAACATTCATCTCCGCAGGGTGTTTGACTATTTGAAAACTGTGTATCTTTACCCAGCTGTGGCAGAACAGAATTTTAAAAGACACTGCCTCCTTCCTTCTCTGAATTAAATTTGACTCCATTCTCAAATGGTCTGTTGATTTCTGTTTCAGACCAGCGAGACGCTGTTCAGAAGAAGACATTTACAAAATGGGTCAATAAGCATTTATTAAAGGTGAGTATTGCTGACAAGCTGTTACTTTAGCTGTTGCACGAGTCTGGTGACATTTTGCAGCTCATCCATGACACAGAAACATACACAGCGCCCCCTGTTAGCAAGCAGACACACCTTGCAATGGGGACGAAAACAGCTCTTGGGAACCTTCTGCTATTTACATGAAACCGACGTGCAAACATGTCTGATTGGATGACGTTTTCTGTCGTTCTCATCCAGCCCTCGTCAGTTGCGAACAGAATTTGTAATCCTTTCATGGTGGTGATGTGATTTGCTCTGACCAAATATGGCTGAAAAGATTTCCAACGACGAGCCTGGATTTTGACGTTGAAATTGATGATCCTCAGGTTAAAATTAACGCCTGACTTTGAAGTCCTTTTTAGGGGACTTGAGTCACATTAGAAGCAGAAATGTACAAATTAACACAACAAGAATGGTAGATATTTAGAATCTGAATGTATTTCCTGAGCGTTCAAATGTCAAACACATTTTCAGTGTGGGTTCTTTTAAGTTGTCTCAACAAGTGAATTAAAAAAGTCGCAAGTAATGACGAATGGAGGGGGTTCATCAACAGATTGTTGCTGCAACGGGCAACAGAGACATTTTCATCCTCGGTCGGGTGTAGTCTATCTCTGATGGAGAGTTTCTGTTAGTTATCCATCCTCTGTAAATTGAGTTTGTCAAACTCAGAAGGTGTTTTATCTTGAATTGAAATGAATTTGGTTTTTATCAAAAAACAACTCTATGAAAGTTAATCTCCTTTGTCAGAACATCAGTGTCAGCGTCAAGATTCTTTTTTTTCTTGTTAAAAGATTAGTTTGAAGACTTGCATGTTTTTGATAATTCTTGCATTTTTATCCAACTATGTACATAGGTACGGTTTGGTAAATCTCGTTCATTTATGATTTCAAGAGTTTGTTTAATAATTCTGTAATTCATTATTGAATTACCATATTCACCATATTATATGCCCTGCTCCATAATCTTGTGAGCACTCCCTACAAAGGCCATGCCAGTGTATATTCTTCTGTTGTATATAACAGGTTTCTTAACAGAAAACACCAGGCCTAGGCTCTATTATCGAAAAAGTTTTTAAAGCCCTTAATTACTGAAGTGGTACTATTTATATTGCCTATATATCATGATTTAGCTGGTGAAATACTATAGCTGTCGAGTCAGCAATTAAAAATCAGAATTTTTCTATTAGCAGTTTCTTCAAGATGCACAATGTACCACTGATAATGAGGCTTATGTGAAACTGTGTAACCACTCTTTAAGGTGTCCTCTACAGAATGACTCACTCAGTACTAGGTGAGAGTGAAGCCCAATTATCTCTGATCTTCGCTAACACGTTAAGGTCTGTGCAGGTATTAGCTCCGTAGGTCGGGATTTAGGTCACACATGGGCAAAGGTATATTTCACCCAAGTGGGAATTTCTCTAAAATCTTTTTCGAGGCATTTCTGAATGGATGACAGTGGTCCTGCTATACCGACATGTTTCAAGCAGGGATTACAGGGAGATTTTGCTTTGTCTGTGAATAGGATTCCTGAGATTTGTCACCATCCAGTGAAAAGAATGTTTTAATGATTTTCCAGTGTTTGGATTCCAGATTGTTCAGATGAATTGAAATAACAATTTGATCCCAGAGAAGCTTGTAATGTTTTATCCAATAAGCTCATTTCCTAATTATGAGTGTCTGCCATGATAATTATTGTTGAGGCTATTTAGTTCAATTCTAAGAGGTATGAATGCTCAGGAATTTGTCTAGACCTGCTCAGAGGCATCTACATGTATTTGGCTTCAAATGCCATTCAAAATTTCCAGATTTGACTGATAAATTTTCATATTCATGTTTATGTGTACATTTAAGCTATAACTAATGTTATAGCTTTTTATGACTTGTATTGCATTGAATTGTTTGATAGGCATTACTTAGACGTTGACGGATGACAAAGTAGACACAATTTATGGATAACTACTTCCTTAATTTCTGTTAAGGCGATGTTTCAGTATAGATTGTTGTTATCCTGCCTGGCGCTCAGCGTTAAGGGACTAAAACAAGGACTGGTCGGTTTGGAGTCAGTATATTGTGTCTGTGGGGTATTCATGTTAAACTACAGCATGGTATCTCAGTGGGCTAGCACTATAAAATCTGCATTAGTCCAGACACACTGATACTTTGCTATATAAGTGCAATAATCTTGAACGCGACGTTATTTCACCTCACCTCACCTCACCTCACCTCACCTCACCTCACCTCACCTCACCTGTCCAGATTTGACTGCTTGTGTCTCATTGTGCCGCCATGGCTTGTATCGTTGCTCATACTGTCAGTGTCTGGTTTAGTTAGTCCAGATTGATCATATACAGACCGACATCATAAAACTGTTCAGTGGGGCGGTCGGGTAGCCTTGTGGTTAAAGCGTTCGCTCGTCTCGCCGAAGACCTGGGTTCGATTCCCGACATGGGTACAATGTGTGAAGCCCATTTCTGGTGTCCCCCGCCGTGATATTGCTGGAATATTGCTAAAAGCGGCGTAAAACCTCACTCACTCACTCACTCACTCACTCACTCACTCACTCACTCACTCATAAAACTGTTCAAATATTGCTGACTAGGCAATAAACAACATTCACTTACTCGCAGTGCCAGATCTTGCAGTGTTTCCTGCAGAGGAATGCTACAGTCATTAACATGATTCATCATCAACCACAATCAATATGCTCCCAGTTATTGACAGGGACAAGCGATTGACATAGTGTTGTAACATGGCTTTGCTTGTCGACACTTGTGAGAACTAGTGAGACTCACGACACAGTTCATAAGGTTAAGTGGGTAATGGTTGTCGAGTAGGGTTGGATATTTCACTTTTATTTTTGTGACGACTGTCAATACTGTTTGAGGCGAAAACAGTTCTGTCAATATTGCCTGTCAGGTAAGCATGGCCCTGTAATTGGTCGGTCTAATGGTTTGATTGACGTAGGGTAAGCTTGATGTTTGTCCACCGATTTCGGTATTGTCGGTGTCATTAGGTCACTAACTGGTCAGTTCATTCCTGGATATTTGCCAACCATAACTTGATCAAAATTTTCAGTTATGTTTTTTCTTTGTTCGACGGTAAGTTGAAAATTAACATCATTGGCTATATTTCAGCCATGTAGTGACTTTCTTTATAAAGATAACCATTGTTTAAATCAGTACATGAGTAAAATCACATGTATTTTAACGCTGAAAAACGGGAAAAAACTTGATCTTATACATAATAAGATTAATCTGCTGCAAAATGACTTGTTGTCGACCATGACTCCTAGATCAGCAATTCTGGCGACTACATGGCAAGTCAACCATGAAAGAATCTTGATTCGCCCTGGGCAACACAATGTGCCTCCTCAGGTATGCTATCTGAAGAAGTGGTTACTCTAATCGGGCATAAATTAACCACTACAGGCTACTTTTGAGTGCAACTTTGTTATTGTATTATGCTAGGAGGAGAAAAGGTGTTACAAGTGTATGCATATGATGTATTAGCAACGTAGAGTTTTATTGAAACATATTTTGCCAAGTTGACAGGTTGCCTTAGAATACTTTGAGAAGAGATTTGACCCTAAGGCATTGTTAAGTTCTCTGAAATAAACAAAAAAGGAATCAGTGAATGAAAGCAAAAGTAGTTTTACACCCTTTTTTTATACAAAATAGGTAATTCTGAACAATGTAATGAACATATAGATTTATACTGCCTGGATTATGTTGTATTGTTGATACAAGGGGTGGGTGAGTCATTATTAGAAGGTATGAAACGAAACCTATCTTCTAAGAACTGTGTAGTCTCGCAGTTCTTACTCATACAGTCTGTGGCTTTAGCCACTCCACCGAAGCTGGATTCTCATAAAATTCTGTTTGGTCTAGTATCCTAAGCGAAAAATAGTCCATCTAATAACCCGACAATCTGAAAATGATGCTTTGGAGCCAAGTTCAAGATAATTGACTAAAAAATGTTCGTGCACAGACTGCTCATAATAGCCTTCATAAGGATGAGGGTTGTAAATGCTGTCTAAAAATGAAGCCTGGCTGTCCTGGTGTTAATTCAAACCCTGTGATTCACACATGCACCAGCAGGGTCATGGGTGTTCCGGTGGTTCCAGCATGTCTAGAGTTCACTGGGGGTCCTTTTCAATTTAAATGATTTTTTTTTGTTTCTGTCAAAATTATATTTTCAGAGACTTGGCTATGACTATCATAGGTCTCATGTTATTGCTACGATTATTTTGGGAGCTGATTGTACCTCAATAGTAGGGTTTGCTGCTTATGCTATCAACCACAGGTTTGTGTGGCCAAGATTTGATTTCTTTTGCTGATCTAGGTTTTAGTAGTGTTTTAACAACTTTGGAATAATGGTGTTGGTGGTTAAAGCGTTTGCTCATGGCGCCGAAGGTCCATGTTTGATTCTCCACATGGGTACAATGTGTGAAGCCCATTTCTTCTGTCCACCGTGATATTGCTGAATTATTGCTAACAGCTTCGTAGGACCATACTCACTCACTTACTCACTCTTACAAGGCAACATTATGTATACTTCTGCTCGGAATTTTATTCATGATTAGATATCCAACTTTTTCAACAGAGCTAGGAACAGTTTGATACTCAGGCATAACTATTTGGTTCTGGTTTGTGTGTATATCCCTGATTTGGGGTGATTATTTGAGGGCTTACACAGGTGTAAATATTAGCTATATCCGATACGGCTTATCACAAATACATGGCTGGGTTACCAGGATATGGTGGCATGTGGGGCAGTGTTTTTTTTATCTGAGTAGGGTATGTATTGAACCTAGAGGTAACCCAAGCTTGGCGATCTATGAATCATAATCTTGATGTGGTAGCGCACAGGTTATGAAATCATGCAAGGGTCATATGTTCCTTTAAATGTTTCAAGGAATGTATAAATTGCCTGGATAGGAGCTTGTGTGAGTTGGAAACGTCATTGGTGGATGGTGGTCAA